ACGGCGAGCAGAACCAGGAGACGGGCGATGTCACGGTGCATTTTGAACGTGAGATGGGAGTACCAGTCCACAAAGATATCTTGAGAGGTTCCAATAGACGTATCTTCGTAGAAAAACAGTTCAAAAGTAGCACAAATACACTCTCACACGGTTGGCTTTGACTGGCGATTGTTTAATGCGGAGTGATCGAAAAGAAGATGTCAATAGACGGGCGATCTATTGACCGGCAATAGATTGCCGGTCCCGTAGCTCAGTTGGTTAGAGCGTTGGACTCCGCGTGGTGAGAGCACGCGTTCCCGGTAATGACAGTCCGGGTTCGAAGCGCGACGGGCGCTCGAAATTTATGGGCCTCCTGACAGGTATGGTTGCGGTTGGTGGCAGGCCGTAGCCAGGCGAAATCAGCGAGGGGACCGGCCGTGCGCGGCTTTGTGCGCACGTTAACCCGCGCCCCGCTGGGGGGGGGGGGCAGAATCTGCCCCCCCTCCCGTTTTTCGCCAATAACTTCTAAACGCGTTACGCCAGCGACGCCAAACTTTCAGTACCTTATCATACATCAATTTGACACGTTCCCTGAAAATTTGAGCGAAATCCGTCAGAAAATTTTTGAGAAATTGACGCTTTAGTGACGTCATGTTCGCCATTTTCGCCTCAAAAACGGCAAAATTTCAAACGCCGCTAACATCTTCATTTTTTAAGGAATCAAGACGTAACAAAAAAGGTTATACGTGATTCTACTTTGTCTATCAAATGGCTATCTCGGTTTTTTGAAAATTTTGGATTTTGGCCAAAAATTTTCCAAAAAACTGACTTTTTTGGGAAAATATTTATAAAATCCAAAATTTTGAGTTTATCGAAAAAACCGGAATATATGTCAAAGAAGTGGTCTATGTGCACCTACATACCAATTTTTAGAGGAATCGGTTCAAAAATGTGGGAGTAATTCAAAATTTTATGACGTCACGACACACAAAATTTTTGAAAAATGATTTTTTCGGAAGTTCTAGACCTCGTACGGAAACAAAAATAGCACCATTCGATTCGCCGTGAAAAACTGCATCGGATAGACACCTTTTTAGGCCCTAAGAACCAACTTTAAAATTTGACCTCACTTGACCTGACCTTGACCTGACCTCGACCTGAAATTCATCCAGAGGTGGTCCATATCACTTATTGAGTGTGCCTATTGAATTCCATGAGTAAAATGACCCATAAAACATGTGTCGCACATGCCCTTTTCTATATTTTGTTTTTGGTGACCTGACCTGACCTGACCTGACCTTGACCTTGACCTTTGAATGCCATTGTGTGCAACGAATATTGTCTTGGTAGTCTAAGAACACGTTTTGGGCAATCAGTCTCAGTCCATTCTTCGGCAACTACACTGTAAAAAATATTGACTAGCCCCTCGTCAAATGATTCTCAACGCTAAATGTCGGGGGTACAGACTAGTTTTGCATCCTACTTTTGACACACGGTGCGAGCCCCTGGCTTGTTTTGTGTTTGTCAGATGACAGTTACCAGGTGTCGGTTGGTTTTTACCACGTCCCAAAAATAGCTGGAGCGTTTCTGCCTTGTTTTGGAAGCAGGTCCTCGTTAATGCTGTGTATGATAACAACCTACCTAGTAACAATAATAACGAAAAACAATGTCAAAACGAGGGCGGCTTGTTTAGTGACGATGCTCAAAAGAAGCATCGTCTTGTTCCTACTTAACGAATGAAGCTCAAACTAGGTCAAAACTAACGTATTGCTCAACCCATAGTCAGATGACCAGCAGATCCTACGCCGCCCAATCCAGTCATCGAATTTGCCAGCGAATTCGTTTGAAGACCATCATATTATTAAATATCGGTGGTCTTCAAACGAAATCTCTTACCAGTTTGATGACGAATTCATCCGGCCCATTCCAAAAACGCTCAAGATAAAATGAAAGTGTATTTCTGAAATAATATGCTTTCTTGCAATGCACCTTTCGTATATCAAGCGAACCTTTCACTTCCAGCGCCCGTTAACAGTTATCAATCGAATCAGAAGCATGCACATATCGATAGATCTGAACCTAAGAACACAGAAGACATTTTGTAGAGTACCTGTCTGAGCCTATGCAGTGGAGCCCGTGAGCCGCCCAACCGCAGCTGCCTCATGAACTTGATGATAGGTCTGAACCTCAGATTGGCCAGAGCTTGGCCGTCAATAACCAGCTTATTTATATCCACAGTTGTAGTGACTTAGGGTTTGGAATTTGCCAAACCTAAGTTTTGATTACCAAGAGAAGTTTTGTACTTCTTGCACTTGCCTTTTCTTCATAACTTTGGCGGAAATCGTCGTAGTGAAACTTCAGTGATCCGTTAGCTGTCGGTTCTTGAGAGAGTTGGCCAGGCCGGACACCGGGGGCGGCTCCACAACTTTTGAAAAATTAAACCAAAGTCCTATTGCACTGCATGGAGAGCAATTCATTTAAAATCGCTCTTGTTCCCCCCCCCCCTCGACAACTTTGCACACGTCTCTGCGCGATTTAGTTGAGAATAATGGCTTATGGCAAGTTATTGAATCAGAACGTCGATCACTGCAGGTCATATATCGGCAAGCAATTCTTCATAACTAGACACTGCACAAATGGAAACGATACAGGTTTGCCCAGTGATAAACACTCGCACTGCACAGACGCGCGCACCTCCGACCGAACGCGGCACGGCACAGCGCAACTGGCGCCGGGAAGCCGGGAACGCATTAAGTGAAGGATTCACAGGTGCGCAACTTTATTGCAAACAATAAAAACCTACCGCAAACGATTAAAAAAAAAAATTTAGGGCAATCGGAAATACAAATGTATTGACTTGTAGAAATAAAATTGTCATTCACCTTCCAAATAACCCAACAATTTATTTGCCGTAAAAAGTGTCTGGAAATGGAAAGTTGCTAACATGACTCAGCAAGTAGGGAAACGCAGCAGCTACCTGGCGAATAATCTCAGGCTGGTTTAGTGACGAGTGCATTGCTACGGCTTGTTCCTCACCCTTCACAGATTACTATGACAAAACTACCCCTAGTATTTTGATCATCCTGAGGCTGGCTTTCACCTAATAATTTGATGAGGGTCTTCCTCGTTTCGGATTGAGGCGAAAACAAACGTCAAACAACCTTGATAGTTAATTCAGCACTTCAAAACAAAGGTACACCTAGGGTATCATCACAATACCGGATCATAACGACCTGGATAGTTCTCAGCCTGTAAGCTAACTAAGCGGTAACTAGTCAAGTGGTAGGTACCGGAAGCATTGACAACCTGGTGACTGTTTCGAGACCCTTGTTTTGACACATAGCTCGTCAATATTTTTTACAGTGTACGGTGCAAGGCCGATACTGTAGAAACTTGCATTTTGTACCCTTGACCTGACCTTGACCTGACCTCTGACCTACTTAAGCAAAAAATTTGGGCTCTTAAGATCCGCCTTGTTGAGAGCTTTCGATTGCCGTTTTCCCCGTCTTTCTACGACCATCGGTTCGGAAGTTAGACAGGGGGGGCAGAATCTGCCCCCCCCCCCCAGCAGGGCGCGTATGGCTGAATAGCCCAGCGGGGCGCGGGTTAAACTTTGGACTCTAAATTCTGTCATAGAATCGGAATTGCGCGATCGGAGGGTAGAGGGCAGGGTCATCGCAACAAGCTTCGCTTAGCGGTGGCTCTGTCCTTGTGAATCCTTCCCATCAAAAGGTTCGGACTAAATATATATTAAAAAAAATAGCTAAAGTTGCAGCTGCAAGAGTGACGATACATATAAGCTACATTCAAAGTTTCATTGTAGTCTGGCTAATCGTTCCTAAGCTTCAGAAGCAGAACATACCCATGACTGAAACTCCACATTACTTCTGCTGTGGACTGTACTATTGAGCGCAGAATCCGCACTCATACCGGGACCGAAGCGGGGCAGGCCTGGGGTATCAGAGAGTGTACCGATTAGTGTGATGCGGAACCATATCCCATCTAGTCGGCTGCTGATCTCCCACGTACTAGTGACAACTCAGATCTCTCAGTACTACAACTTAGATCTATCAGTACTAGTGAAAACACAAGGACATGTGGATTTACATCAAAAGCGCTGCCACCGACTTCACCACTGCACTGCGTCAGTCGCTGCCACTGGACGGACACGGCCACAGAGCGTTCCCTCTTATCTGTGTTCCTGTCGGGGTCGGTATATATCTACAGCGGCGTCGGCCGGCCTCAGTCAGTCCGGGAGAGTCAGAGCAGCCGGCAGCCATGTCACGAGCTGACTTGTTCGGTGCTGGGAAGGCGGAGCGGAAGAGGAGGTTGGAACGGTGCTTTGACTGGAGAGTGAGGAAACTAGCGGACAAGTACGGGTCGTGTGCACATCTCATCCCCGACACTCTGCTGTTGACAGATGACATTCTAAACAACTACTCCACCAGGTGGCTGGCCTACTGTACCGTAGCTGAGGTAAGCCACACTGTCACCGGGCTGGTAGATTATCCACTCATGGCAGCCCTGCAGGATATCAGTGACGCCGCCGCCACCCGCTGTCGGCACTGCCAACCCAACCAGCCCCTCAGAGTAGCCTCCATCAATCCATCAGGCAGCAGTGACGAGGGGCTGACGGACGGGTTAGTGGGCGTTGGTGGAACGTCAGATTTTGATCTGATGTTCGAGTTCGACGCATCTTTCCAATGGGCGGCACTCGGAAAGAGAGAGGAGCCGGACTTTATTACGCCACAGTCTGCACCGCAGCTGTGGGCTCGACCGACCAGAAACCCAGGCTTTGTGACGCTGCACTGGGTCAAGACGACTAAATGCAGTCATGATAAGCCGCTGGAGGCCTTGCCGGCCGAATCCATCCGCCAGCTAATGCTGAATGTCCGTAAGGTTATGGGAGGCAAGATCCATACAGCCGGACCCGCTGTTAATGTCAAGACATCAAATGATACTACTGCTGGTGGCATCGACTTCGTGCCCTGTATTCTTGTGCGCGGGTGGTGGCCGGCTGAAGACCAGCCCGACGGCTGTCACCTGGAGGTGGACTTCCCGCCAGCATTGGCGAGGGCTGACATCCGACGATTCGGAGTACACCTTGTCCCGACCGGCCGGTCCGGCAGCGACACCGAGTTTATCGAGTTTCGGATTTCCTTCTCACGGGCGGAGGTGATCGCGGTTCGATACCTCGCTCCAGTCATACGAGCGGCTATTGTAGCAGTAAAATCCATGAAAAATACTTTCAAAAAGAACGAGGTCATGAGCGACGATGTATAGTCGACTACAGAATGACGTTCCACTCATCAGAAGCTATCAGTTGACCGGAGCGCTAAGTTGTGCCATTTATCACACAATTAGGCGTTTCGATTGTGAGCATTGGGACAAAGCTATAATTTGTGAACTCAGCCCGTGTGATGCGGCACAGCTTACCACTCCAGGCGAATAATTGCCTGTGAAAAGGGGAACATCATTCTGTAGTCGACTATACCGCTGAAGTCATACTTTATAAAAACGGCCGGGCTGTGGCTGGCTCAAACCACGCCAGCTTCAATGTGGAAAGGCGTCACCGACGGTGTCAACAAAATACTTGACTGGCTGGAGGACAAATTGAACGCCGGGAAAATTCCGTGTTTTTTCGATCATAACATCGATGTGGCAGCTGAACTCAGCACCGTAGAGCGGCGGGCTATCATTGACACAGTACAGCTGATGAGGGATCATGTCACACGTCTTCTGATGGCAAGCTGTGTGCAGTCTGTGAATCATTGGGACGTGGATCTGCTGCTGGAGGGCGGGCTAGAGCCACTCACAGAGCGCCAGCTCGAGCCCCAGCTGCGGCTCCGACTCGGAAGGACGCTCGTCCGACAGGCGGTACTTGACGGTGTCGGTGTCCGCCACACAGCCCCGTGCTGGGAGTGCTGGTGGAAGGAGAACATCCCTCGGCTGGTCCGTACAGCCCCACTTCTACTACAATGGTGGCATTACACCATATCACGAACATACCGGCAGCAATGTTACCTGTTCATGGCATGGATGGTGGTCGACTCATCAGACATGCAGGGAGGAAGGCCGATGACGTCACAGGTCAATGACATCGTCACGCTGGACGTTGGCCCCCTGATACAACTCCTCACCAGATCTGACCTGGATCTCCTGCTGGGTGACCCGGACAAGGTGGCCACCTGGTGCAGTAAGCAGCTGCGGCGGCCGCTTGAGGAACGGCCGGCCGGACTCACCGCCGAGCTGGACACGCCGCGGGGCCGTGCCGATCTGCTGCTGCGGCCCGAGCTGCTGCTGCAGGCTGTGCGAGTGAACGCGCCGGATAAAATGGACTGGTGGCGGGGTATAGACCGGGCAAGGGGGTACAGGTGGATGAAAAACTACCGACCAATGCGTACATATCAGGAGATTCGGGAGAAGTTGGAACGGCACATCAACATTAACCTGCATGAGTGGCTTCACGACGATCTACCAGAGATGGACGCCGCGTCTGTGGACGCCACGGCCGGCCTCTGGCGCCGCCGGCTGCAGCAGCTGCTGTCCGGTGACCGGCTGCGGACGATGTACAACGCTATCACCGGCTGGTGGCCGGACCGGTGGGAGATGACGTCGCACTACCTGGCGGTGCTCGAGGCCGACTCAGAGGGTAAGAAGAAAGTGACGCCAACCAATGCTAAAATCCTTCGTATCATTTGCTTCCAAGTTCCAGTGTCATTCCAGAAACGACTGAGAAATACCTACTATCGCAATGGATTAAAATCGATATGCGTCCAATGTTGTGATCTTCCCGAGACGAGATCCTGTCTGATCATTCTATCATTGAGTGTTGGTTGTTTAATGCTAAGCAGTTCGTCTGTTGAACGCCCACGCAGCTGATATTTTCTACCTAATTGGTATGTTTCAGATTCGGAGCAGGATGACGACGACGGTCAGGCCGGTGGCGAGGAGCGGCGCAGCGCAGACGAGGACCAGACATCAGGGGGTCTGCCCAGCCCTCAGCGAGAGAAATGGCAGCAGCTGGAGCGACAGCACCAGCAGCTGTGGCAGCAGGTGGAGCGGCGGGGTCACGGGGAAAGGAGGAGTCTGAACCAGCAGCATGATGAGGAGCGCCGGCGTCTGGAACGGATTCATGACAGGAAGTGGCGGAGCATGGAAATGCGGCACCATGACGAGCGGAAAACGCTCCATCAGCGGCACGAGAGTGTTAACAGGTGCGTGAAGCTACAGTATCAGGGACAGGCGAAGCAAGAGAGACGTCAGAGGCAGTTGGAGCTGCTGGACCGGAGAAACCGAAGGCAGTTAGCAGTACTGGAGTGGCAGCACCAAATAGAGTGGGGAGACCTGGAGCAGAAGGTCCAAACGCAGTGGAACAAACTGAAACAGAAACACCTCAGGGAGTCACAAGAGCTGGAGGAGAGATACCCGAACATGCAGTCCGGGGAGGAGCTGGATCAGCTCATGGAGGAGTGCAGCAGGAGGCGTCGGCAGCTGCGGAAGGAGCTGGAGAAGGAGCTGGAGAAGGAGCTGGAGAAGGAGCTGGAGAAGGAGAAGGAGAAGGAGCTGGAGAAGGAGCTGGAGAAGGAGAAGGAGAAGGAGCTGGAGAAGGAGAAGGAAAAGGTACTGGAGAAGGAGAAGAAGCTTGGGAAGAAGGAGAAGGAAAGCAGGAGGGTGCAGGAGAAGAACCTCATAGTCAAGAAGGAGGAGGATAAGTCAGTTGAGCGTGGTAAGGTTTACTTTTATTAACATTGCTTGTCAACCATTTTGCATCTAGATCATGTGCACAGTCACGTACTTTACATATTTTATGTTGATTTTATATCCGGAGACTATTTGAAAATGAATAGAAACACCCTACAACTCTTTCGTTCAGAATCTGTATACTCGTAAGTATTGACTATTGTCCTTCTGATTTCAGACAAGCAAAAGCGACTACGACAACAACAGCAACAACAAAAACGAGAACAAGAACAACAACAACAACAACAACAACAGCAACAACGACGACGACGACGTCAACAACAACAACATGAACCAGAACCACGACAGCAGGAGCAGCAGCCGAGCCGGCGCTGTCAACACCTGCGGAACCTGATAGAGGTGACGCGAAGACACCGCCAGCAGCTCATCCAGCTCCAGGAGCGGCACAACCAGGAGCTGGAGGAGCAGAGGAGACGTCACCGGCATGAGCGGAAGGATCTGGAGCGGCGCCTCAGCCGCCGGCGGCACGGCCAGTAGCGGCGCCACCCACAGTGACCGGCGTGAGGTAATTTCTTAGTGGAAAATTATTCCAGTATTCTACGTTTTCATTACATAATAGGTAAGGAGAAAATACTGTAAGTAAATATGTACTAATAATTACGTGTATTGTATTTTTCATATTGTTTCGGTCGTCTAAGGCCTCATATTTGATTTATACAAGCCTGTTCTGTTTGTGTTTCAGGATACCAGCGGAATCATGGTTACAAACTCAGGGAGGCGCCACTACGGAGAACAAGTCGAGAGCGAGATATTTGTAGCATCAGAAATGGTGGAAATATGTCGCTAGTGTAGATGCTGACATTGATAAAACGAGACCAGTTGCGTTTTTATTAACGCTTATAACGTTAGTGTTCATGTGATGGCGATGTTAGCAATGCGTATAGCGTTTGTATAGTAATGGATGATATAAGCTATGTGTTGTTTTTACGACTGCAAAATGTAGTTTTAATGTCTAATGCTATACATAGATGGTGACATTGATGTTGGCTCTCCGAGCACCTTATGTTGGTTATGGGCTGTTTTCCATGACACATGTATTGTGCAGTGTCGTGAAGCTCTGTAAATACTATACAAACAGCCGTCCCCATCCCCATCTTTCGATGACCGGACATAAGGCCAGTTGTCGATGTGGTGATGGGAATCTGTGTAACGAACCGTTACATCGAAGCCATTGAATATGTTGGCTACTGGAAGCATTGTACATAGTATCAGAACGAAATACGAGTAACCTATACAAAAGCGACGAGACAGCGGGCTCCACCGATAGCGCTGCTCCGAACCACCGCGTCCAACACAGGAAGAGTGACGGCACCACAGCCGCAGCTGGCCAGGAAGGACGTCAGATAGGCGGGATGGCACCGCCGTCTCCACTAGCCGCAGGCAGGATGGTGCGGTTGGCGTGATGTCGGTCCGAGGGGGGGGGGGGGGGTGACATCATGTCAGTCTGGAAAACACTGCGTAAAATAGATCAGACGCGACTTGCTCGGTTGAGGTCGCATGATCATGACAGCCTGTGGCTTTTTGGTCAGGTTAGTGAAATTTGAGAATGTGAAACAGATCTTCGGTACATGTACATACACATTACACATTGCTAGTTGCAAATGCAATCGTCAAAACTATTTCACTACTTTCATGACCTTCAGTGACCTAAGGGTCAGCAGTGACTTCACCCCGGCCGCCAGCTGACCGTGGCTGCAGCGGTCCTCGCCTCCATGACCATTGCCTCAGACATACGAGAGGATTGATAAAGTTTGTGCCGAGTGTCCCAATAGGTACAGCCCACCGCTAAAGTAATGTAGGGTTTTACCAATCTCAACGGTTGGCTTTGACTGGCGATTGTTTAATGCGGAGTGAGCGAAAAGAAGATGTCAATAGCTAAAGTTGCAACTTGCAGCTGCAAGGGTGGCGATACATATAAGCTACATTTAACCCTGCCCCATGTAGGGGGGGGGTTGGTGCAACCCCCCCCCCTGAGGCTTTTCGGAAATAGTGCAAAAACGGCGGCGCGCAGCGCCGCCAAATTTTGGGTACCTTATGGGGCAAACCTTGCGCATCTTTTGATAAAAAAATTTTGACCGGGTCATGTCAGGTCACGGAGTTATGACGTCACAAAGGGAACAGCCTCCGGCCAGATTTTCACAAACTGAGTGCCAACGCCCGAGGTTTCCTGCCGGTGGTACGGACATCGGTTGATGGATCGTGATGAAACTTCCCATGCATGTTGGGGCAAGTATTGGCTATCATATGGTATAAGAAACTTGACCGGGTCCGGTCAGGTCACGGAGCTATGACGTCACAAGAGGAACAGCGTCCGGTACTATTTTTGAAAAGCGCCCGAACCACTATTTTGCTAATTCTTGTCACCTCAATGGGAATATGCAGCAATATTAGCTTCTATAGGGAGCAAATGGACCTCCCAAATCCAAAAATACAATCAGATTTCAAAACTTTAAATTTTGATTTTTCGAATTTCTGCCGCCGACTGTGACCTTGCCGACTTCTGGCGCTCCCAACGCGCCATTTTTAGAGCTAGGGAAACGAAATACATACCAAACGATAGATAATTGATCAAGGAACACGATAGTGAAGGTTTCAAGTCGATATCTCCCACCGTTTTGCCGCAATCGCCGCGGAAAGTTGAAAAATTCTATTTTTCCGAAAATTTGACCTTTGACCGGTCAAAAGTAGGTCAAATGTTGACCTAGGACCAAAAAATATACCACCAATCGCGAGATCTCGGCGAGAGCAATCCGTTGGTCTTTTCTGCTAAGCTCTACGACGCTCCGTTTTCAAACGCCAAGGGGGGGTCGCACCAACCCCCCCCCCTGCATGGGCGAAGGTGGCAGATCGCCGTTTACGGGCGAGGGTTAACACGCGCAGTGGAAGGGGGGGGGGGGGCGAATTTCGCCCACCCCTCCTGTTTTTCGCTAATAACTCGCGCCGCAAACGTGATATCAAAGTGAAATTTTGGCTACCTGTCCAGAATTGAACTGCGGATCTTCTCGTGCAAGAAATAAGAAAATCGGTTCACAACTTTTCTAGTAATGGCGGTGTAAAGTCAAACATCCTGCCGCCGCGGCGGCGCGGCGGCGCGGCAGCCGGCGCTGGCCGTTACGCGCCGCCTGAATTGTAGACTGTGCCGGGGCGGGACGGTTCCGTCTTTACATCGCGCTGCCGCTCGTTACCGCCGATTATGTTCGATTCGCGTCAAACTTTGTGAGAAGACTAAGAAATGTACAGGCAATCTTATGGTGAAAGAATTTTGAAAATCCGCCGGTAAAAATTTAAATTACGAGCGTGTAAACACAAAATTGTGATTGCCGCTTTTCCCGCGTCGGCCGATCCCGCCTCAGGCGGCGACATCTTACTCTTAGAAGGCTTCTAACTGTCATATTTATTGTTGGATTAACTTGAAATTCACCATACACACTCAGAAATGTATGTTCTTTCGTATAAAGAAAGAAAAAGGAAAATCGGCCGGTAACTTTTTGAGTTACCGGCGTGTAAACGCAAAAAGTCGCTCATATGGCAGATTTGACCACATTTGACCTCATTTGACCTGGAAGATATTGACCTAGGGTCATGAAATTCACACACAACAGAGTTCCCCAGTGCCCCCACCTACCCTCCAAATTTCGTCTCTCTAGCTTCAGTGGGAGCTGAGATCTTAGGGGGGGGGGGGCGACATTCGCCCCCTCCCCCCCCCTTCCACTGGGCGTAGTACTCGCAACCCTTCCACTGCGCGTGTTAAAGTTTCATTGTAGTCTGGCTAATCGTTCCTAAGCTTCAGAAGCAGAACATACCCATGACTGAAACTCCACATTACTTTTGCTGTGGACTGTACTATTGAGCGCAGAATCCGCACTCATACCGGGACCGAAGCGGGGCAGGCCTGGGGTATCAGAGAGTGTACCGATTAGTACACTAAGAAAAAAAATATTCCCCAGGGGTGTTTTACGGGTGTCAGACACCATTGGAGGTGTCATCGAACACCCAGATTGGTGTTGAAAAATGTTGTTTAGGGAATCATTAACCCGCGCACCGACGGGGGTCTGCGCCAACTTCGCACCGACGGGGGGGGGGCGGATGACCGCCCCCCCCCCTGAGATCTCGAGAATGAAGCAAGATGGCGACAAGCGGTAAACGGCATCGGATACGCACGGACAAGGTCTACAATTTTTACTAAGGTCATTTTCAGGTCAGGTCAAAGATGACGTCACAGGGGTCAAACAAGTCAAAATGGCGGCGCTAGGTTTTGGGAGAGTTTTCTCGAATAACTTTCGAACTAGTCAATATAGGAACAAACTAAGGGCATCATCGTGATCCTCTCGTCAATCCGCATCGAATGATATATATGTTGACCTCGAAAGGTCAAGGTCAAAGGTTGACCTCAGGTCACGTGACCTCGAGATCATCATGTATATCATTCGATGCGCCTTGACGAGCTGAACACAATGAGACCATCCGCGCGGCTGTATCTTGTTCCTGTACGGAGTTATTGTCAAAAAAAAGGCTGGTGACCTTTGATGACGTCACATGACCTTACAGCTGCCCAACAGCAAAACAGACCTCAAGGTAGTGAAGGTTGATCGTATATGAAGTCATGTATGGTATATGGGGCCATTACGACCCGTTTTAGTGGTAAAAACAGGGAGTTGATTTTTCCCCCATTGACTTATAATGGGGAGGTCGCGAAATTGACCTGACCTTAGGTCACCGACATCAAAATTCCGAGATATACAAATTGTAGCTACTAATGACCTAATAACATCCTGCGACTTTCAAAGGCCTCCGACATCTACTGTAGCTCTGGCACGGTGACAAAGTTGCAAAAAAGTGACTTGAGGTTGGGTCATTCAAAGTGACCTGGTGACCTGACCTTAAAAGTTAGGAGGTTTAAACTTGCACACCATGTGTAAAATTGATGAGGAAATAGTCGTACCAAATTTCGCGGCGCTACGCGCCGCGGTTTTTCCGCTATCCGCGAAAAACCTCAGGGGGGGGGGCGGATATCCGCCCCCCCGTCGGTGCGCGGGTTAAGGTGTACAACACCACGATGACACCCTTTCAAGCGTTCGTTCGCATGCGAGCGTTTAGATATACCTTAATGGGATTCAGCATGACACCTTAATAGGTGTCCGACACCCACACCCATCCGGGTATCAAACACTCCAAGGTGTCAAACACCCTAAAAGGTGTCAAAAATGTTCTTTTAAAAGCATCCGACACTCTTATGATGCCTTCACAGGTGTTGTCATTTATTCAAGCGGAATGTTAAAAGTGTCCGACACTGCTAGAGGTGTCACATTGACACTTGCAAAAGGATCTGACACCAAAAACAGCGTAAAAAATGAGGAAAAATATTTCCATGGGGTGTCTCACGGGTGTCGGACATCATTGCAGTGTCATATATAACGCCCAGATTGGTGTCAAAAATGTTGTTTTGGGAATCATGGAGGTGTACAACACCACGGTGACAACCTTCAAGTGCAACGCGCTTTTAAACACACCATAATGGGATTCAGAAAGACACATTAATAGGTGTCCTACACCAACATCCATTCGGGTGTCAAACACCCTAAACCATCAATACTTCAAAGGGTGTAAAAAAATGTTCCTTAAAAAGGATCTGATACCCCTGTGATACCTTCACGTGTGTTGTCATTTACTGAGGAACATTCCAGCATGAGTCATGAAATGTTTGAAAGCTGTCGTGTATTCGAACTCAAATCATCACAGAAATTGTTCTGACGTCACTTGTGTTAGGAACCAAGGATGCAGTGTCTAACGGATTTTCAGTGACTCGAACTCCCGCTCTGTCTTCAAAAATGGACTCCTATTTCGGCCAGAACTGCCAACTCCATCAGACTCCGACTCTGACTCCGTAGCACTGCTAGAAACCACAGCAGGTCCAGTGGTTTGAATCATTACCCAATCAGCAAGCTGCATTGTGTGACGTCATTTGTGTGCTGGCTACGGCGTCAACCATGCGAAGATTAAAAAGCGCCACCTTGCAGGAAAACCGTTAGATTTCAGTTGGCGGCGGCGTGGCCACGTGGTGCGTGTGCAGTGTGAGTGATGGCAGGGCTTTTTTGAATTTATGTGGATATAGTGGCGCCGAACGTTGTTCGCAGTGTACTTCTTCAAGTGATTGTGCGTTAATCATAATGTTTAGCTTTTATTTGTAGCTTGTTCCGTGTTTATTCAAATGACGAGGCGGGCGGCAAG